GGGGAGCAATTGCCATAAGGCGCTCCGTGGTAACTTTTGGCAAGAAGCTATGCGCTCTCCTTCCCGTGTCGCCCTGATCCCATTTTCTTTGCCACCACTGGATAGCGGCATTTCGCAGTTGACTTTTGAGGAAAGATGGTGGTGCTGATACTGATATCGGTCTGGCATTTTGGTTTGAAGCAGCCTCTTTAGCGAGTTCATCCGCTGTCTCATTACCCATGTTACCTGCATGGGCTTTAATCCATACTAGGTCAACATGTGCGTGCCGATTATCTTTTAGGATATGCAGCAGTCGTATGATCAGCGGGGAGGCGTGACTATGTTTGTCAAGAGCGAGCAGTGTCGACGTACTGTCTGTATAAAGCTGCACATGTGTGATGTTGTTGAGCGCCACGTATTCAATGGCAGCTGTTATGGCAACTACTGCTTGAAAAATGCTATTATTTGGATTGAGGTACCCTTTTCAATGGTGTGCAGCATGGCCTTGCCTGTAGTATATAAAGGCACTACCTACACCCTCAGCAGTTTTCGAACCATCTGTGTAGAACGCGTGCATATTAGAGTTTCCTTCTGGTTGATTATCGTTCTTCATAATTTGGATAAAAAAAAATTCATATTTTATGGAGCAGAAAACGTGAGAAAACACGTATGCCATCAACTAGATTTTAACAACGGATCTTCCGATTGTCAGCACGACGGGCTACAATTTTTACAAAGAAAGCACATACAGGGAGAGAAAACAACTAATTGTTTAAACTCATTAATGAGAGATACTGTTACTACAAGTTATAAAAGTTAACACTTCGTAAAAGATAATTTTTAATCTTAGTTTTGTGTTTCATCAGTAAAGTCATTCAATATATTCGATCAGCGTACGCAACTAAATATAAGCAAGATGTTCTGACAAGAACTAAAAATATTGTTGAAACATGAAGTAGTTTGAGCACATAACGGAAAAACAATGAGAGTTAAAAAATAACTCACTAATTTTTTTTTTTTTTTCGTTAAAGGCAAATCTTTTTATTTCATTAGAAATATCGAAATTGAAAGCCTACCTTTTCTTCCTAAGGTGACTGCTCTCTTCATAGGTTGAACTGCAAAATCAAAAAAGTAATCCAGAAATGAAAAGGATACATCTTAGTGAAACACTAACTATATTAACCCTTAAACACAGAGGTGGTGCCTGTATGACCGTGCCAATATTTTAGAACTGCGAAACTGCTTATAAATTATATAGTTATCATTTTTCTTTTCAGTACTTTCAAGTATAACTATTCCTAAATTTTTATAAAACTCAATTCATTAGTTTTTTTAAAAAATAATTTTTAAAATTGGGCCGTGCTCATATAGACCTCACCTCTACGTTTACATTACTTTTCTCTTGCATGAGGAGCAGATGACTTTATTACTACTTGAGTGTCAAGCTTGTACAAGAACTTAACTTTAGAGGTTTGACATATGTCGGTACTATGAAAAAATGTAAGAGAGAACTACCAGGTAATTTGTTTTCCAAATACAACAAATAGGAAAGGTTCTTCCTTTTATGCATTCACAGATGGAATGACTCTTGTTTTATATCAAAAATTAAAAAGTGTTATTTTCATTTCTTCAATGCATCATTCGAAATCAGAAGACCTTGAAACTGAAGAACCAGATTAATAACATTTTAAAATTTGACTAAAGGAAGTGTAGATGCATTGGATGAAAAATGTTCTAAACATTCTACAAGCCGAAGAACATGGGCGATGGTCAATGGCCGTATTCTTTAGGTTACTTCATGTAAGTGGTATTAATGCACATGTAATAACATCAATCGTTAAGAGATAGTGCCAAAAGGGAAAAACTGTTTTGCGGATGGAGTTATCATCAGAATTAGTGGAACCACATGTGGAACGAAGGTTTCAAAAGCCAAGTGTGAACTGAGAACTAAAACATGCATTCAGAGAGTGCTACGAGTTTCCAGCGGAATCTATTCTAGCTCAGATGTAACTAATAGCCTTAAAAATCATAAAATGTGCTTTCGTTGTCCCCCCTAGACTAAGAAGAAAAACTTCCTATCCATGTTTCAGCTGCAAGAATGCGATAAGTAATAAATGTGCCAAGAGAATTTACAAAATTTGTGTTGAAAATGCTTAAAATAATGTGTTGCAGATTTTTAATATTCTTTATATATTATATATTTTATATTTTATTGCATTATTTTATATAATCTATATTCTGTAGATGGAAAATTTATTAAATAGTTTAGTTTATACGCATTTGCAAGTAAGTAGTGTTTATTTTATTCATTTGATTAAGTGTTTCATATTGTTTCGTATGTGATTTAATAATTAATGTTTAATGCATTAATTTTAGAGTTTTAAAAATAATTAATTATTTCAATATCACAAGCAAAGTGTATTAATAATAATAAAATTAATTATAATTATAACATTATTACAGAATTTTAAAATTTTATATTTTTAAAATGCATAAAATAGAGAGCGGTCTGAGACACCCCTCCTCTGTGTTTACGTAACAGAAAATGAACGTCTGTACTTAAGGGTTAAACATAATAAATTGCAATAATAGTCTTAATATGGAGTACCTATCTGTCCGCCGATTATTCAAAGCGGCGTTTCGTTTCCTCGGGTCTCGAAAAAGTCTAAAACTTGAACCGAAACTGCTGCCAGAAGAAAGCTGAGGTATAGCGTGCTTCTCGCAAACGATAATACTGATACGCAGTCGTATGGACCTCCGACCTACGGTTCTACACCAATCAGAGTTATATGTCCATGCGACGGAAAAGAATCTACCATCCACCGCCAGCGGCATTCACTGAATCAATGATAGTAATTTTACAATGCTAAATTGACAATGTCATCTATACAATAATTGTTACATAATAATCCGGATGAAGATAAATATACGATCAATTAATAATTACATTGTCATGGATAGGATCTATGTTGTGGGAGAGTGGAACTTATATATTAACCAGTTTTTAAACCTACGTTTTCTTCAATTCGTCATAACTTCATGTTCTTATCAGTTACACACCTAATGATGTGTGTCCGTATTAATTTTGCAGTTATCCACAGAGTAAGCCAGTCACATCAGTTCAGGCAGTTGATAGTTCCATAGCCCATATTTTATGCATAACCAGAAGTATATGATGTTGCGTAGGCTATTCTATGTCACTTAAGTTCATCGTTCAAGTAAATACTACTTGTCAAATTCGATACATCATAACTTCGTGTCCTTAACAGTTTGCACACCTCATTATGTGTGTCCATAGCAATTTGCACACTGTGTCGCAATTATCCTGGAATTTCATTGTAATATGTACACTATTTTACTATTATCCAGAGAAGCAAATGTTTTGTAAATAATGACTTGGCTCCCAGATGATAAAAAAAGAAGGAAACTAATTCTTAAATTTTTCAATACAATTCTAAATTGTGCAAAACTACAGATTTGTTAAACAGTTTCAGTCAATACAAATTGACTGGTATTCCAACAATATAAAGCACATATTCTAAAATAAAACGTCTAATGGAAAACAGTAACTAATTCCCAATTAAAATAGACATAAAATGCATAATTATTCAGCACATATTATATACTAGTCATCATACCATAAAAATACACATGTTTCAAATGCTGCAACTAATTTTTTATTACAGTTAGAATATTTACCAATCAAACATACTACAAATGTACATGTTTAAAAAAAAACTGCAACTATTTTTTTTCATGGCAGTTAAAATAATAAATAAATTTCTATTATACAATTATAAATAGCACAAATAAACAATTTCAATCTATACAAATTGACAGGTATTCCTACAACATAAGAACACATATTCAAATATAGCTAATCATTCTTGTAAAATGGCTATAATAGTGCCCAATTTCTACAAATAATTAAAAATATCTACAGAAAAACAGGAACCAATTCCCAATTGTAACAACATGAAATACCAAAAATTATTCAGTACATATTATATACCAATCAATTATACCATATTAATGCACATGTTTCAAATGCTGCAACTAATTTTTCATTACAGTTAGTATAGTTATCAATCCATCATACTATATAAATGCACATGTTTCAAATACTGCAACTAATTTTTCATTACAGTTAGTATATTTCAATTTGCCAGCTAATAAAATAAATCCGCTCTAAGTTGAATTGGCTGTAATAATTCACAATGCTTAAAATAGTTAATCTACTGGAAAACAGAAACTTATACCCAATTGTGATGCACATGATATACAGAAGTTATTCTGTACAAAGCTGTTATAATTCCAGATCCTATAAAAAGCTACAAAACATCCTCAGATGTTTATTCTTATATGCAAATACAAAACACTGAACTCTCTATCAAATATAGAAGAAACATTTACCAATTCTATCAAATGCAATAGACCTAAATATTTCATACATTTAATTATAACTCTAATTACAAAGAAGCATTATAACCCACAAAATAATTAGATACAGTTCTAAATTCCTGTTCTTACTGAAAATGCAGATATTCTAAGAACTGCAATGAACTTTTTTTTTATACAGTCAGAATATTCCAGTTTACCAGCTAACAATAATTGTAATTAACTTAAATGCAAAAATAATACAATAATAACAAAATGGCAAAAAAATAATAAAAAGAACAAAATAATAACTATAAAATAACAAAAAATTCATAATTAAAGGCTATAATATTAACATACAAACAGACAATTCCCAGATGCAGAACTTATTCCCATGTGGAAGTGCAGAGCACATCCAGTACTTAATAATCCTAAAAATTCTATGCATTGAAGTTATACTCACAATTATCATTACAGCATGTCAAATGGAAAAAAAAAATTAAAAGGCTACCCATAGTGCAAATATTATGCAAAGGTTTTTGGAAACGTATACATCTCATTGCAAATATTAAAAATTTGGGTTAATCTGTGCTGAAGAATTTGTCGTTTTAATAGTGTTTTAGTCCATTCACTCCAATATAAGTCTAATGGTCTTTGCAGATGAAATTCAGCTGTGAGTGGGCAAGAAAAAGCAAAATGGTCTGGAAACCCAATACTTCCACAGTGACATTTGTCATCATCCTTAAGATGAAATCGGAATAAAAACGACGGAAAGGGACCGTGTCCCGTGAGAAAAGTTGACTGCGCTGTATATGAAACCAAAAATGTTTCCGAGACCTTTGGTAAAAATTTAAAAGTTCTTCTGCCCGTTGTGGAGTGTTCCCACTTTTTTGCCATTGCTGGAGTAAGTTCTCTTTTGTATATCTCTTAATATAAGAAAATGGTAAGGGCAATGAATATTGAGGAAGATTTTTCCCTCTTACCGCTCCTTTTGCCAACTGGTCTGTCAACTCATTGCCATAAATCTCCCTATGAGCGGGAACCCAGCTCAAAAAGGATCTAGAAGGGGCAGGAAGGTTAAGAAGAAGGATTTTTATTTCTGCTACTATTGTATTTCTTGAATTTTCCCCCTTTATGTCCTCCAGACTAGAAAGTGAATCACTGTAAATTTCCACTTGTAATGGAAATTGACTTGAAAGATAAACTGCTTTTTTTAATGAAAGTAGTTCAGCTTGAAAAATAGAGTTCGCTGGCCTCAGTCTTCGACGCCATGAATGCATTGGTTTGCCATTTTGAATTACACATTGTCCACATCCTGTTCCTTGTTTCGAATGAGATCCATCTGTGTAAATCTGGAATTGACTTTTTGACTCATATGAGAAGGTTGTCCTTATTGCGCATAAAATGCCATTTTGCGCTAGATGACAGAGAAGTTCTGTGCTCCTAGTTTCATAACTAAAAGGATCGTATGGAATATTCCACAGTTTACTCTCTAGACGAAGACGCAAAACTCGAGCCAGCACCGCTTCCCTTTCTGCTGTTAAGTCTAACGGAGGAATGCCGGAATGCAAAGCATCATTGGAAGTTGTTCTGTAACTTCGACTGATCATTAGAAGAAAAGATCTTTGAATAGAAATTAAGAGTCGTTTCTCATGTGTCTTGAGAGAGTAAGCCCATATTGCTGAACAATATAAGATTATTCTTTCTATTACAGTCAAGTACCATATTTTTAAAATCCGCGATGAGATTCCCCAATTCTTACTAGTTGTTCGTTTCATGTGAATTGTCAGTGACATTACTTTTGTTCTGATTGCCTTCAAGTGAGTCGTCCAAGAAAGATTAGAGTCAATAATAAGACCTCAAGCTTCCTACAAATTGAATAGATTTGCCTTGCAATTTTAAAGATGGTTTGCGTTTGAGGGGTTTAGATGCCCCTATCAACATTGCTTGAGTTTTACTGGTAGAAATAATCACTTTGTGCCTTCGTGCCCAGTTTGCTATAATATCCAGATAAGCTTGAGCCTCAGAAGAAATACCCGATTAACCTTTAACGATTAGCATAAAATCATCTGCAAAAGCTATGAGTTTACAGTCTGACTTTCCATCAAACTGTCGCAAAAGAGAGTCAGCTACTATCGTCCACAAAATGGGACCAAGACAAGATCCCTGAGGACACCCTTTTTGTAATTCTTGATCATATTGTTCTGAATCTAAAGTCACTTGGATATGACGATCTTGCAGATAACTTCGAATGAGGTCAATGATATCTACTGGACACTCCATGATGACCTGAGCGTCTATTATGTCCGGCCACCACAGGGAGTCAAAAGCTCCTTGTATATCGATGCTGATCAAAATCGAGTGCAAATGCTCGATCCTATTCGATTGTAGTGACGAAATCAGGTCGTAAATTGCATGCTCTGTAGAGCGCCCTTTTTGAAATCCATATTGTGATGGATGTAGTATACTATTTGTTTTGTAAATAATACTGCAACACCCTAAAATTACCCTCTCCAAGAGCTTACCTAAAGCTGGTATTAAACAAATTGGCCGGTAGGATTGCGGTCTAAGTGGATCTTTGTGCTGTTTTAAGAAAAGTACGACTTCTGCTCTTTTCGATTCTTTCGGAATGTATCGGAGTCGCCAGCAGGTTTAGAAATATGCAATGATCAAGTCCGGTGCAATATTGAACAACAGTCGAACAACAACATTATCTAGGCCGTCTGGTCCGGGAGCCTTCTTTAAATTTAGGTGATTAATAATGCGTTCTCCAAGACGATAATTTGTTTTCCCTAATTATTTTCTTGTACAAGGCCTGAGATTTCTTATACTCTTGAAATAATGAAGCCCGATTTATAACGCCATAGGTGGCTTGTGCTCGTTTTCGCAATTTCCGTAACTTCCTTCGTTCAATTGTAAGTTTTTCATTCCACCAGGAAGTGGCTGTACGCGGACAAAACCTTCTCATTTTGAAAGCATTTTTACAAGCTTGTATGCAATGTGCAGTCATTTTATTGTAAGTGTTATCCAAATGTGAATTTGAGCTACAATCTTGAAAAGAACGGATTAATGATGAAATGTGAGGAGAAAAACAGCTACGAAATTTATCTTTTCTTCCAAAGAACGTTTTAAATCTTAATTTGCCTAGGAATCTTAGAGTTGGAGAAAAACTGAAAGTAATAGCTCGGTGATCACTCAATGTAATGCTATCACTTACTGTCCAATCTTCTATAAGAGGAGAAATGGAAGAAGTAAGAGTCAAATCTGGCCAACACTTGGCATGTAAAGTATCGATGGTTGGAGGAGCATCTGATTTATTAAGAAGAATCAAATTTTGAGAATCTATAAAGTCCAAAAGCGTAAGGGATCTAGAATTTTCATAGGGATATCCCCAAAAGGAGCTGGCAACATTAAAGTCTCCACCTAATATAAAATTTCCAATTGGGTTTTCCTTTACATAATCTAATTCGTGTAATAATGCATCTTTCCTTTAGTTAATCTAATTCGTGTAATAATGCATCTTTCCTTTAGATAATCTAATTCGTGTAATAATGCATCTTTCCTTTAGATAATCTAATTCGTGTAATAATGCATCTATGTCCTTACTAGGCGGAAAATAAGCTGAAATAATTAGCAATTTTCCTTCAAGGGTATCAATCAGAATCGAAACGCTGTGCTGAGTTTCTTTCCACAAAGGGGTGACAAAGGTCCATTGTACACGATTGCAGCCAGATGGTTTAAGGAAAGAAATGTTTTGTTAGAAGATAAAGAGCCAATTAGTAAATTTTTGGACGTAATATACGGCTCCTGATAAAGACCCACTGTACACCCCAGTTCAAGTTGTATTTGATGAATGCTGCTCGTTGCCGCTATAGATCTCTGTAAATTCCATTGTATAAATTTCAACGAAGTTCTACTTAAAGGGCCTAATATCTCTATTCCCGCTTCATTTGGCTGATCTGCTGTTTCAAATTCTGTCGAAAGTCGGACATTTTGTTGAAAATGCTGTGAACGCAATCAAATGTTGTTCCCTTATGCTCGTTCGAAATTAGACAATTTACACAAGATGGTTGTTCTTTGCAATCTGTTATTGGAGCGTCGTGAGATCCAGCATACTGGGCACACTTACTGGTTTATTCTGGCACCCTCGGCTAATATGACCTATCTCCTGACAATTATAGCAACGTGTTATTCGTAAGTAACGCCGATAGGGACAGGACGTGAAGCCAAGAAAAATCCTACCTCGATGACCCAATCTATTAAAGTAATCACGATCCAGACTAATAATCCAATTTTTCCTGGAATCAGGTCTTGAAATAGGGGTTCTTGGTTTAATTGAGTTTTCTCTATTGGCTGGGAGATGTGAATTCAATGCTGAAATTAAATCGTCCGCAGTAAAGTCCGAAGGGACTCCAAATAATATAATCGAGTTACGAAATGGTTTTGGCTCTCGCAGTTTAACTGATCGCGATAGATTTTCTTCACTCGAAATTATCTCCTTACATTTTAGTAAATGTTCGCTTGTCTCACACCTAATCAGCAACTCGTTACTGCGAGTTGGACGGATTTGTTTAATTGGAATACCTAACTTAGAAGGTTTAATTGAAGAGGTCAATTTATCTTGTAGAATCTTCGGAGTAACAGATTGGTCAGTTGGAGCTAGTAAGAGTACGTGGTCAGTCAAATGTTGTGGACGAGAGGCTTTTTTCTTTTTACGTTGAACTAAGGTAAAAGTAGGATCTGAATCAATTTTAGAATGATTCTCTGAAGTCTGCAGGTCTGAGGATGTTACTGGTGGGACTGTAGGCTCCAGAACCGCAACCACCTTTTGCAGAGAATCAGTTTGTCCACGTTGATTTGCAATTAATTACAATTGATCAGAAATTATATTTAAAGCAAGTTGAAAGGCGTCGAAAAGAGTTTTTTGGTCTCCCTTATTTAACCTATGTTTAGAGCTCTCTGCTCCAATAAGCTTGAACACATCTGAACTTTGGGCTAGAAAATTATGTGCGCGAGTAAGAGATGAATCACAAGGAGGGACACTTTGAGTTTCAGAAGTTACCGATGGAGGAGCTGAAGCCGAAATTTGAACCATCAGTAACAGTAAAATTGTATATAAGTACAATGAACAATGTAAACATCAAGTATCTTAATACTTCAAGCACTACGCTTCTATTGAAAATAGCTTACCAGCATTAATACTTCCCTTACAGTAAATCGTTTACAGTCAATACAGAATCAATAAGCAGAATGAATTTAGCATAGTAATAATAAAACAGTATTCAATGGGAAAATGATTGCTGTTACGCATAAGTTTTTAACGCTCTGTTTTTAACACATTCCTTTTTTAGTTTCGGCAACACTGAACCGGAGCACCTTCTTTTCCATATCTAGAAGGAGCTTGAACAACACGTCCAGTTCTCGTTGTGACAGTGTGGTAATCAGGATTGCCTTGGCTCACAGGAGTTTCGTCATCTACTTAAGCAGTCTCCCCGTTAGCAACACGGTTCTCTCCATCTAGTTCTAACGGACACCGCGGTTTGGTGCATTTAATTGTAAGTTCTGTTTCAATTTGAATTTGGCGGTTCTAGCTAACTGATTCATAATATTCTTCCTAAAGGGCAATATATTCTTTTGAGTTTATCAGTCCAGATTAAAAAGATATTACCTAGATTAAAGATACTGAATCTGTTTCTAGCTGATGTTCTTTGGGGTAATTGCTCCAAGTATTCATTTCGAAACCTGACTCGAAGGTCCGAGATCAGCTTTCTTTTTGGACGTAATATACGGCTCCTGATAAAGACCCACTGTACACCCCAGTTCAAGCTGTATTTGATCAAGATATATATGATATCTTGATCAAATACAGCTTGAATATCAAGATGTATATCAAGATTAATCGTTTATTTAAGTCATTGTTGACAGTTTTCATCTAAGCAAACTCAGTTCCACTATTCAGAGTACTTTCTTTCAAAAACAAATCAGGAGTTAATGGGTTTATGTCCACTAGATATTAACTGGCATAAATTAGAGATCTAGCATTTAGATAGTTCTTACAGTCACAGAGAACAGTTTCCATTTCTTTATAATGCTCGTCCTAAAACATTTTTCATAATTCGTTTTGGAAGGCTTATCAATCTCTCCCAAGTAACCACCCCACACCGTGAAGCTGCTGGAGAAATAAATTTCCAAATAATAGGAGAATAGATGCTTTTAGTTTTTCTAGACTAGCATTTTTCAATAAATTTTCAGTTCCAGTACAGTTGGTTGCATTGCCTGAATATACTACTGAAAGGCGACCCGGACGCCCCATAAATCTCCTACGTGCTAATAAGAAATTGTCTGTTGATAAAGTCAGAAATTTTAATGCAATGTTCTATAAATTGCGCAGGTTAAATTAGGATCCATACCTTCTTACTTTCTTCAGCAGTAATGGACCTACGACATACACTCCAATAATTTCCAAACTATAGCATTTCTAACTCGATCTCTAGGAAGAATTCCTATTGGAATTTCAGGGGGTTTGGCTTTAAATCTTTGAAAAATTACGTAGGCTTTGATTACTGCTTTTATAGTTCGTCTACTTTACAGTATCTAATAATTTTCCTTCAATTTTAACGCTGGCGATTGCACTTCACAATTTCTAAGCAATCGATTTTTAAATAAAATTAGGCACTTAACTACATAATGACATTTAGTAGAACAATTGGGACTTTGAATTTTTCATCCTCGTCTCGCAAAAGTAGTTTAGTTTTAATTCAACAAATTCTATCAGCGTATGTAAATGTCAACAGTG